TAAGGGTGTTGTTTTCCAGCATGATAATGCAAAGCCCCACACATCTTTGGTCACTTGCCAAAAATTATTGGAGCTAGGTTGGGATGTGTTGTCACATCCACCCTATAGCCCTGATCTTGCGCCTTCAGATTACCATTTATTTCGTTCCATGCAGAACTCCTTAAATGGTAAAATTTTTAATGACTCTGATGATGTAAAAACACATTTAATTCAGTTTTTTACTGGCAAAAATCAGAAGTTTTATGAACATGGAATTATGACACTGCCTGAAAGATGGCAAGATGTCATTGACAAAAATGGACAATACCTAATTGAATAAAGTTATATTTTTAAGCAAAAATTTTGAATTTTCCTTCTTATTTAAAATCCGCAATCACTTAGTTGCCAACCCTGTAGTACCATGTTGGTGACATGGTACTACAGAACTTTGACTGCACCTTATAGACAACTAATTTTTTTTATTGAGTACTTAGGAGATGGTTTGTAGTCATTTTAATGTTCTTCAGAGAGCTAAAAATACTTTTGAATTTTTTAAGGGCTATAATTTTATAGATGTCTTTTTGTTTGTTTGACTTGCATCTAAACAATAACATTTGAAATTTTTTAAAAATTTAATAAATATACAATAAATATAAGTACAACTTTTAACAAAGATAAAACCTTTGCTTTAGTTTTTTTTTCCATCATTCTAAGTTGTACTTGTATTTATTGTATATTTATTAAACTTAAATAACCGTCGGCCATGTTTAGTTCTATTTTTTTTAATATTCAAAGATTTAAAACAGTGCATGAATTTTCTCATTTACAAAAATATGGTTACTGCAGTAAATATGTGAACTCAATATCTGAAAACTTGTAATATTTTAATAAGCTTTATTTGATTGTGATTGCTTTATTTTTAAAATAGAAAACAGATTGTATATTTTATTATTAAGAATTGAAACCTTTATTTTTAGATTTAAGAAACATTCATCATGACTGATGCAAAGTATTTCACGACTACGAAAAAAGGTATTTAACTGTAAAATTGTTTTGTTACTAACCTTTTAGAAAAATTAGAATTACCATAATGTAATCATAATTATTAAATTGCCAAATTTATCTCTATAATTTTTACAGGAGAAATATTTGAGTTAAAAAGTGAACTGAATAGTGACAAGAAAGAAAAGAAGAGAGAGGCTGTGAAGAAAGTTATAGCATCTATGACTGTAGGAAAAGATGTCAGGTAATTATAATTATTATTATAATTAAGCATTTTATGGTTGAAAAGTTTTTCTATAATTTAAATTTTATATAATTTCTTATTTTAGATTTGAATTTGAAATATAATCAGTAATTTAAACTTTTAAATTTGTTTTATTCTGATTTTAAATTGAAAATTACAATAATCATCATAATGCATTATGCATCAAAATTTAAATAGTATGTAGTAATGCGCACAGATTTAAATTTTTGTTATAATAGTATATAATGTTAAATATTTATAATTTAATTGAGTTTTGAAAGTTATTGTTTCTATTCAAATGACTGACTGAATGTAATTTTTATTGACAATGAATGTGTAAATTTTAACTAAGTATATTTGATTTATTGACTAAATATACTCTTCTCTTATATTTTTAACATTATTATTTCATTAATAGCAGTTAATCTAATTCCGAATTATAAGAATGTTCTGTATTAAATTACAAAAATGTATTTATTACAGAACATAATGATCTTGTTTTTCGATGTTTTTGATGAAATAAAAATTTCTTTTAACTGCACAAATTAAATAAGTAACAGTAAAATTTTGTCAATTTTTTTTTCAGTGCTTTATTTCCCGATGTTGTTAATTGTATGCAAACTGATAATCTGGAATTGAAGAAACTTGTGTATCTTTATTTAATGAATTATGCAAAAAGTCAACCAGATATGGCTATAATGGCTGTTAATACATTTGTGAAGGTATATTCAAAATATCTATAATTTTATTTATTACTGTGTTCTAATTTTAAAATATTAAGTTTATTGAGATTATGAATTAGCATGTAACTGTTGATTTAAGTTAATTACAACCCAGTTTTATGAATGTAATACTAATGAAGCATTTATTTAGGATTGTGAAGATCCAAATCCATTGATCCGAGCTTTAGCAGTGAGAACAATGGGATGTATTCGTGTTGATAAAATCACTGAATATCTTTGTGAACCACTCAGGAAATGTTTGAAAGATGAGGATCCTTATGTAAGAAAAACTGCTGCTGTATGTGTTGCAAAGTTACATGATATCAATGCCCAGCTTGTAGAAGATCAGGGATTTTTGGATCAGCTTAGAGACTTACTTTCTGATTCAAATCCAATGGTAAACATGTTAATTAAATAATTAAGATTAAATATTAAATTATAAGAAGTTATTCAATAGAATCGGTACTTTTTTCAGGATTTTTTTTTTAAAACTATTATCTTGTATACATTGAGGCTAACTGAAAATGTGTATATAGAATAATTTTCTTGTTTGTGTTTGAGAGGCTTAAAAATTGCGGGTATATTATGCATTTACATTTCTTTCGCGCTGTGCTGTTAACTTTATTTTATATCTTAATTTTATTTTGAACATTTATCATAAAATGTTTATAAAGTATGGAGGTGATTTGAAGTAGTAGATTATATCATATTGATCATTGCTATCTATTAATGTGAAATAACAAATTGTTTCTATTCTCAATCAATGTTACACGTTTATCATAATTATGAAAAAGTTGCTAGATTATTTAAAAATTAACATTTATAAAATATTGACTAAAATTAATTTGGAATGTTTATTTAAGGATATCAGTTGAAATGAAAACAAATGCCTAGAATTAAATGATTATATACTGATTCAACATTAATATGTGCATTTTAACTATAGTAGGTTTTTTGTGTAGTATCATTTTATGAATTTGATTTTCAATGCTGCATCTATATACTATGCAGCTGCTATGTGCGCTTGACAAACGATATGTAAATTTTTCTATATATATCACTGATTTAAAAAAATTAAGAACATCTTTTTATATAATAGATGGTGATACTTATGTGATTATTTCTAGTTAAAACTTATTTAGAATAAGATAAAATAACCATTTATCATTTTTAAGCATTACCAGTTAAGCATATCATTTAATGCAATAGTAAATCATATTAGATTAAGTGACAGATTTTGAATCGCTATTTCAATAAATAGGTAGTTTATATGAATTTTTTAAAAATTTGTATAATATACCCTCAATTTTTTAATACAATGTTTAGAACCTAAAAGTAGGCTAAAAATAATACATATAAATGTGTGTTCGTGCATAAAAATGCACGCATGCATATAATGTAAGTACATTCAAAATATTTGTTCTCCAGATGATATTGGGCATTTGTAAATGAATTATTTAAATATGAAAAATATTTTTAGTCACACCAATACTGTTGTTACATCAAGTAAATTTTATAATTTTAGGTAGTAGCTAATGCTGTTGCTGCTTTATCAGAAATAAATGAAACTTCAAGCAGTGGTCAGCCTTTGATTGATATGAATGCTCAAACAATTAATAAATTATTAACTGCTCTAAATGAGTGTACAGAATGGGGTCAAGTATTCATCTTAGATTCTTTATCTAATTACACACCTAAAGATGAAAGAGAAGCTCAAAGGTAATTTAATTTAATCTTTCTATTTAGATCTAAGTTGAATTTTTTAATTAGTATTTAATTAGTTATTTTTTAATCTTATAAATACAGTTTATATTGTACATTGTTAAAATATTGATATTCATTTAAGATGAATGTCTGAATACATATTATAATTTCATAAATTTATTTGTAATGAAAAGCACCAAATATAGGATGCTCTCATTTTACATCAGTGATACATTCCTAGAAGAATGTGGTATAAACAAAATTAATGCAAAGTAAATCCATTTTAGTATGGAATAGGGATATCACATGAATGTGTCTGTATATTTATTTTATATTTTTCAATAAAACATATCTAGTATTGAAATTTTTACTAATACAGAAATTATAAATTTATTTGTAACTGAAATCAATGAGGGAATTTTTTTACCAGTACTGTGTTGATCTCATACAGCTGTGCTGTTGGGTTCAGCTTCAGTTTTGTTGTTTTTACTACAATATTAATAGATATTTGATAAGAAATATATATATATATACTTAGTCTGATCAAATGAGGTTGTGAGAGATTCTGGATTAAAAAGATGAAATACATATTAATATGCTGTTATTGGCTATTTTGCATTTTTATATCAAAAAGCAATGTGTCAAAATAGTTTAATATGTTTAAAAACTTAAATCATTAATTGTAAAATAATAATTAATTATTCAATGTCAATATTATTACTAGATTCTATTCATTTTCTAGATATTACCTGTGTGTCATTTGTAAAAATCATTAAAACTTTGATTTTTATGTAAAATTCTTTTGAAGTTTTTTCTGAAATATTATTTTTATGAAAAATGAAACATGTAAACTGTTTTCTCAGGTTTTACAAATATTTTAGAAAGTAATGTGAAATATTTTTTAGAAAATTAACAAAAAACGGTTTTTAAGCAGTCTGTGACCAATTTGAATAAGATTTTCATTTTATTATTAAAAAAAAAATAAGGATTGATACTTTGTCGGTATTAGTTGAATATTATAGTTAATAAATTAAAATCTATTTAATTATAGCATTTGTGAAAGAATCACGCCAAGACTTGCTCATGCAAATGCTGCAGTAGTTCTTTCAGCTGTAAAGGTAATTATCAACAAAATTAAAAGAAAGAATAGAATTTTATTTCTTAAAGTTAATATTTTTAAAATAAAATTAAAAAATTTTTTACTTTTTAGGTATTAATGAAATTTATGGAAATGATGAGCCCAGATTCAGATTTTGTATCAACATTGACGAAAAAGCTTGCACCTCCACTTGTGACGCTATTATCCAGTGAACCAGAAGTTCAATATGTGGCTTTGAGAAATATAAATCTTATTGTACAAAAGAGGTAATGATGATGATCTCCGAAATTAATTTTGAATATAAATATAATAAACTAAATATGTAATTTTTGTCTTTGATAGGCCAGATATTTTAAAGCATGAAATGAAAGTTTTCTTTGTTAAGTATAACGATCCAATATATGTAAAGTTAGAAAAATTAGATATTATGATCAGACTTGCGTCACAAGCAAATATTGCTCAAGTTCTGGCAGAATTGAAAGAGTGAGTAAATATTTCATGAAAATTTAGAATACATTTGATAACTTGCTTAATTTATGAAGAATTCTATATCTAATCTTACTAACAAGACTTGTAACATTTTAATTTTATTTTTTTCCTTTAAATTAGTTACCATATTTTGTACTTTTAAGATTTATAAAAACAATATTCAAATTAAATTTTAGGTTTCAATACTCAAAATTTAATAAATTCTGAGTACATAACTGTACTCAGAATTTGAGTACAGTTATGTACTCAGAATTTATGTACTCAGAAGTTACATAATATAAGTTCATATAAAGATTTCTATCAGAAATATAGTTTAGTCACATTTTGAATATTTTATTTTGCTAATTTTACAATACATTTTATAATCTTAATCTTGAAATTTGAAGTTTGTTACATTCAAATGTGTAAGGGTGTGTTTTTAATGTTGAAAAACTTACTATATACAAGTATTACGTTGACAATTTTATTATATCAATAACAATGTATGAAAACAGTATGTGAAATTGATGTGTTGCTATATATTTGCCATAAAGAAAATTTCAGATTATTTTAAAGTGGTATACTTAAATATGAGAGAGCTAGTACAAGTTTTAGTTGATGGCAATTTTGATGAAACATTTTCCTGTAATTATGTTGATGAATTATGTAAAGAATAAAATTATACAAATGCACATTTCATATTTATTGTTCATTTATCTCCTAAAAATTTATGAAGTAATACACGAAATAGTACAATGTGTTCCAAACTTAATAACAACCTAATTTTTAGAATGACAAACTTCAACTCTTAGCTTAAATGGGAGGCTGTTATTTTTCAATTTAATTATTTTATTTTTGTATTTTCAAAATTTATTTTTGAAAATTTTATAAAGTGATTTATTTATAATTACTGCATAAATCCATAATGAGGATTATGGGTTTCTGTTGTTGATTGCATTGATATTAACATCAGTAGGAGTCATTTTCAGGTGCAAAGAATTTGATAAGTGCAATGATATTTTGAAATTTGACTTTAATTCCTACCATTGCAGAGCATACAATTTTACAGATGTATGATGTGAAAGTGGGCACATCCAAAGGTTCAGTAGAGTTAAATGTGCTTGTTGAACAGACAGCAGAACTGTGTCAGTTACTTTCAGTTAAATTCTTTTTTAATAGTTTTTTGGCAGATTGAGAATTATGTTGATATTCCAGTTATGTACTGTACCTTAAATGGATATGTAGTCCAGTTTTTTTGACAGTTTTTCATCTCAAAGTAACAATCAAAATTTTTTTTCCAGTAATTTCAAATGTGCAGAGATTACACTATTAAACTAGTTTCACCTAATATTCAATGATTGTTTAAAACTGTTATACTTGTGTAGTCTTCAATATTATCTTTCCATAATATGAATTTTTTGATAACCTTGAATTTTGTTATAAGAAGTTAATATTGATTTATAAGTACAGATTCAGTTTAATGTTGAAAATGTGAGATGTGTAGAAGTGATTTTTATGGATACTTTACACATTTTCGCAAGACTTCTGAATAAATGTGAATACAATAACCTAAACTTGATGAATATTTTTCAAATATAGTTTCAATACTAACAATTTCTGGTGAAGCTTGCAGTGAGTCCATAACACATTTTGACTGATTAAATAAAATTTTTAAAACACTACTTTTTTCCTGCATGTAGCCTGAGCATTGTCTGTACATATTTTGGATGCACTTCATTCATTCTAATACTTTAGGTTTTACACAAGTATCAAGTTTTAAAATTTTATAAAAGAGCTGTTTGCCTTGAAAATTGTTGAAAAATTAAATCTCAAATACTATAGTAGAGATAAGACTTATCACACTGCTACTGATAACATCAAAATGGCACTTCTACCATCAGTAGCAGTATTGTGTCTGTTATCTCTGAAACAATCTCAAAAACAAGAGTAATCTTAAAATTTTGTTGCTGATATTTTAAATAAATGGTTTTCAGCACAGCATATCTTCATGTGGTTTGTTGGTCTAAAGAGTATTTCATGTAAAATCAGTCCCACTCAATGGAATAGATAAATGATTTGGGCAAAGGATACATGTTAGAAACTTTAGAGAGGTTGATGCTGCCATTTTCAACGCGAAAACGTGTACGTTGGATGTTCAGCACTGCCTTCCTGTAAGCCTAGAAGTTTGACAATGGCATTCAGAATGTGATTGGAATCATGCTTGACTGTTCCAAATGCCATTGTCAAACTTCTAGTCTTGCAGGAATGCGGCACTGAACATCTGACGTACACATTTTTCCATTGAAAACGTCATCCACAACCTCTCTTTTGTTTAATAATGTTAAACTTAACAATGGTAAGTGGTATCCTTGTGCACCTTTGTGTGTTTAATAATCAGATTGGCCTTATGTAAAATATTGATGTCATTAGCTTCAATGCTTCTTCAAATACTTCCCTTTAGCTTGCATGGTTTTGGGATCTCATACCCCTTCCCATTTAAAAGTCCCCTATAAAACTTAATGTCATTTTGTTGTTTTGGTTTGGCTGATTTTAAGTGGTACTCCTTGTATATGTAATATATGAAAACACGCAGTTGGGACAAACTTTATACATTTATCTAGTTGCAATGAGAAAAATTTACTCTTTAGCTAAGCTTGTCTGATCTGTCTGAATAGTTCATCAATCATGTGCACATTTTGTTATTGGAAAGCAGAATTTGTTTCAATTTGAGCTCTTATCAGTTTCAACCACATCTTTTGTTGCTGGGAGCACTATTCCCAGTAACAAAAGACATGGTTGAAACTGATAAGAGCTCAAAAGAAATTGAAACAAATTCTGCTTTCCAATAACAAAATGTGCACACGATTGCATGCAGCTTACCAGCTAATGTGATTTGCAAACTAAGAGTAATTAAGTATGAATCTTCAACTCTGTTTTTGTTTTGAAGAATTCAAGCAGATTGTTTTTCAAATTTGGATGCTTCATTTTAATACACTGATACTGTTCAGTTGTGCACACTCATTTGTGAGTACTTCAAACAGAATAATAATGGATTGTCATCTCCATTTGATGAAAATCAGTTTTAAGTAGTTGGAACCATACTTTCTCAATGCTTCTTTTTTGTTTTTATTGCTTGAAATTCATTGACTTTTACTGCTTTGCATTGATTGTTTCATTTTCTACATTGTTTTTCTTTAATTCTACCATCTACATTGTTTTGGACTTCTTTATCAACCACTTATTCTATCATGAAAAACAAAATTTACAGCAGGAACAGTAGACTGTTACATGTGTCCATGAAGATGACACAGATGAGAGAATAAGCAAAAATAATGTGAATAAGATTTTTACTTCCACTGTGACCAACCTATCACCACTGACTAACAGTTTACAATACTTTAATAGTTCATTTTGAAATTAATGCCCACACTGTTGTTTGGACTGGACTTGAGAAATGCTTAGATATGGTGAAAACATCTAGAATTGGAAGCACCCAATACATTGGGCACGTTCGTAAAGTCGAACAAGTTAAACGAGAATGACGTCATCGTTATTCTTATTTCGTTAGACTTTTCGAACGATTCGTTTAGAACTAAATGGCTGTTTCTAAAATCGAAGATACAAATGTTGCTAGTACAGCCTTATCCGAAATATTTTTCTTAGATTGCTTCGGGTGGACAGTTACTTCAATCATTTCATCTTTTAATTCACAATATAAANAGGCAAGAACGCATCACAAGCACACAAGAAGTTATGTGCCGTATATGGGAATGAAGCCTTGACATATTCAAAACCTTTGTATCTCCAGTCGTAAATTTATTATTAACGACTAACATTTTCAGTTTTAAACATATCTTCTTTAGGTCCAGTACTTTATATTTTAATTTTTACTCTTCCTTGTTAAATTTGTAATTTTTAATGTATCTAGTAATAGTTTGTATAAAATACATATAAATTTCAAAAACGAAATCATTAATGTTGTTTTGTTCTAAAATTTAAATGTCGTACAAGTATTTCATTTGATCACCCGAGGAGGATGATGTATTATTTTGAAAATTCTCTCCATGTAAAGTTCTATTTTTGATTTTCTTGAATATTTAAATAATTTTCAACATTGAAAGACTGTGTGCAATTATATACTTTAGTATTCAAGTACTTTACTTACCATAAAGGAAAGGAGTTACTTTGAGTGTAGGCTTGGTTTTCATGTTAGTTACTAGGTAACCAAAACAGTTTTTCTTTTAAACAAAAATTAAATATT